CTTTGAGCTTTGGTTGAATTTTGGTAATTTTATAGCAGAAAAGTAAAGAGTTAGGCTCTTGTCAGTTTCATGGATTAAGCTTGTTGTCTTTATTTCATTTATAATATTCAAAATCATGAGAAAGGCAAAAACTAATTAAAATTAATATATGAATGAGGTCATGAGAGCGAGGAGAGCCTGTCTAAATAAAAATTGTATGAGTAATTTGGGAAGGAAAGATCTCTAAATAAGAAATACGGTATTTTACTGAAAAAATCATTGCATCTGCATGAAGCCACCTATCGTAGTAAAAGAAAGTTAAAAGGGCGTGCCTAGGGCAATTGCCGTTTCGATTCTATTAATCATTGAAGCTATACCAAATTTTTTTTTTAATAATTGAAATATAGTAGTTAATTACATTACCAAATATTTTCAATAGATGTAATACATAAATTTAAAGTTAGAAACACCAAGCGTACAACGCGTTGCACTTCTAAGCAAAGTACACATATAAAAAAAAAAAAACAGAAATTCAGAAAAAAAAAACTTCACAACCGCAATAGTTCAAAAACTAGTAATATCTAGAAATTTTGACATATGAATTCCAGATCGAGCACTCTGGAGTGCGGTAAACTCTTACACAAAGACTTATAATCGACCAAAATCCAGTTTTGCCAGTTTCCAAGCGGGGTTTCTCGCAATAAAAATATGTAGCACAGAATATTGCAGAAGAGAGGCAGGTTCTAAAAACATTTGCATTGTGGCGAACAGTCAGCTTGTCTTGCTGAGATTCCAATCAATAACATCAAAATTGGTATAAGACAGTTTCAGTAGCTGAAATGCCAAGGAAACTATATTACTGGGTTGGGAGTCGGGACATGAGCGCTATGATGTCAACGAACCGGCGGACCACCTAACAAAAAACGAAGCTATCACAGTACTCAAAAGTGCGGAACCCTCTTGCGGGCTGACCCGAGCTCGGTCCGTAATGAAAATTCGACTCACTTATCCGCATTACTATCTCTATCAGGAGGCAATTTTCGCATAAAATCTTGAACAATAAACTTATGGTTAAGATCTTAACTTTGAGAAAGGTCGTGCAGAGTTGCAATCGGAAACTTAACTTAACTATCATTAAGGATATAAGCTCGAGTTTCTTATTTTCAAAACTCCTTATGTACGCAGATAATTTAAAAATCTATCCGGTCATTATGATAAAACAAAAAAGCATCTCATTTTGTTGATGCAGCTGTTGAAACTCAACCCAAAGAAGATCGTAGAAAACAAATTAAAAACATCTACTTGCACTCAAGACTTTCCCCTTTCACCTTTGTTGTTGGTTTCATAATTTAGAAATTGTAGAAGTAATATTTTTCTTTTTATGAATTTACGTTTGTACTCGGATTCCAGGTATTCTATTTAACAACAGCAGCAGCAGAAGCAGTTCGCTTCAAACATACTAATTTTAAAATCTTCTTTCATGTAATATGTATAAAAAAAAAAAATATACATATAAAACTCCAGTCATATCCGTTCCGACAACTTCCGCTAAAAATTTATGCGCTCGCGCACGCTTGTCGCACTGCCTTACTCTGTCTGTCATTCACCTTCAACTTGCCACAAATCACTTTGCTCCCCGGCTATGCCAGTGCCAGCACGCACAGGCACACGCGAGTTCAATGCATACAAAAAACGAGTACATATAAAAAAAAGAATCAAACAAAAATAGAAGAGTTTAAGAGCAGCGAGGAAAAAAAATATGAAAGAAATTGATATTCGCTATCCGCCTACGAAATGGCAGGGCTGCAGTATAATGCAGTGACACTGTTGCAAGAGCAACAAGTATGGCAAGCAAAGTGCAATCAACTGCAAGTAAGTACAAGTAAGTGATGAAGAGGGAGCATGGAAAATAAGAAGGATGTGAAATGTATGACAAAGGATAGTCTGAATAATATCCGCTTTGTATTAAGTTACTTTTGCATTATTATTATTTTTTTTTATTAAACTCGTACACTGCTGATGATTGAAAATACACGCGGGAAAATTGGCGATACTTGACAAATGTGAAAAGAGAAGATCTTTTTGTATTTTTTTACTTTATTTCGACGATATTTGCCGCACCAACGGGATCTTGATGCGTGTGAAAACTTAGTATATACGGCACCCAGATTAGTATGTGGTCACCTCTGAGACACTGCCTTTCCGATGCAAAAAGAATTATCGAAATCGGTTGACGTGGTCCAAAGTTATATTTCTGTTGCTTTGGTAGGCAAATCTACTAAGCCAAAAACGGAGAGATCACCAGTTTCTCGTCTCATAAGGATTTAATCACTAAAAAAAATACAAAAATGACCGCGCCGATTCTTTATGTGCCAGAATGATTTGGGCTTGCCTGTTCAAAAGTGCACCGAAGTTGGTGTGAGGCGCTCCGATCTCGTTGATATCATTCCTGTTTGGTGATATCGTTTCAAGAGTACTCCTCGGCTATACAGTTTCCCTTACCAGTACTGGCAGTTCCGCCAGGTATAATTCCCCTAGAAACTACATGCTGGATTGATAGCAGGGGCCCAAAGTGAGAGTTGTCTTCGTTTCTTCGCTTGGAACAACGGCCGTGCAGACGACTTTCTTGCCCTTGCCAAGAGACAATTTCATCTACGCGTTGGGGATGTCCACTTCGGAGCTGGCTTTGTGTGTCGAGTTCGGCGTCCGTAACCGCTCAAAGTTTTTTTTGCTGTTGTTTTTGTTTTTAATCTTATGCCTGATCAAGTTGATAGGGTCTCCAGTCAGGGCCGCTGTCCAACTGTTATTTAAAGTTTACTTCTGAATTCGAGTTAATTCTCCATTGTAAAAATTATACTTACTGGGTTTTAACGAGACGAAGACGTGATGGACCGTTGAATATCACAACCACGAAACTGGAAAATCAACAAATTCAAATCGATCTCAAGTCGTCATCAGAGTGCCAACCCAAAGTCTTAACAGTTCTGGTTAAACGCCATGGATTCCGCAGGCTTGTTGACGTTGCCTTGGGTGCATTAGGCGGAAGCGGGCACCTCTAAACGCCATCTAAGTGATACACACATTTTTAATTTTAATTTTAATAATAATATTTTGGCGCTTACACTTTTGCTAAGTGCTTGGGTTCTCCTCCAATTTTCAATTTTTGATATGCATCTTTTTGTTATAATACAAATGGACATTTTTTTATTTCGCCTCCGAACGGTTAGCGGTTTTATGAGAACCTTTTTCAAGGCAGAAAACACTCGGAGGTTTGCCATTGCCTGTTGATGGGCGACCGCTGTTCGACATTTTTTTTTTAAATTTAGGTGCTGCTCGGAGTAAAGATCGAACCCAAACCCTACGGAGTGGTAGCACGCAGCTCTAACCACTCAGCCATAGCTCAAATATGCCTTTTCTATAAGCTGTTTCACATGGAGCAATTTCTTCAAAATCTTTTTTTTACCCTTTTAGCGTATAGGGATAATATTTAGTATTTAGATCTTCAAAAGGATCAAAAATATGTATAGTACACCCTGACGATTGTATTTATATATATTTGCCATCTCAACTTTTTCTTAACTTCTTTTTTATAAAATTGTATTTGGTTCTTTCAACAGCAAGAAATTTTCATCTAAATTAAACATATCTTATTTCGAGAATTTCCAGTATGCAGTTTTGTAGCCCATTAAATAAGTAAAAGAAGGTACCGATTTTAAGGCGCCAAAAATTACCATTGATTTTTGAGAATTTTTTCCGCTGAGACTGTTGCATACCTTCGTTCAAATAAAACAAAAAAAAAGTGCCAAAATTTTATGGGCTACAAAACTGCATACTAAACATTTTTCTAAGAAATCGGATTGAAAAATTGAAAATTTCGATTGAAGTTTCTTGGATTTTCCCTAGTTCTGAATGAAATTAAAAACAATTGATTCCTGTGATTTTTGCTGTCGAATGAATTATATTTTTATGAAGAAAAGAAAGTTAGTATGGAAAATGTAGATAAATGAATTCGTCAAAAAGGTCAGCGTATATCTATTTTTGACGCTCACTGTATTTTTTCTTTCTTAGACAACTAAGTTCACATCGATAGAAGTTAAGATCTAATGATGAAATAATATCTTTTGTTCTTTTAAAATTTTTTTTTTTACCTAATATATACGATTATTCTTTACACTTCACTCAAATTCGGATGCCTAAAATAGTTCAGATAAATCGCTAAAAATTTCATAGAAATTGACTTAATCAAATGTATAGTATTTTTCAGTGCCTAAGTGCCATTTTCACAGTGGGCGGTTCACTCAAATTCGGCAGTTAACTTTGAATTTTTGTACTGAAAACATATAGCTAACTACCGAATGAGAGTTAATTCGTCACTGTAAAAACGGGCTTAAGAAATATATGTATATTTACCTTCTCGATTGGATTTTTATATTCTACCTGTCTTTTCTGCTTCTTGTTCATTTTGCTTCTCTAATGAGAGTCAACACTAGGCTGGCTCTCACAAGCAAGAAAAAATTTTTTCGTTCAATATTATTTATTTATGTTGTCTAACTTGGAGAAAGACCGGTTTGGCGCTGTGCCTCTTCAGTGACATTTTTCCTTTCTGAAGGCACAGAATATGACACAGCGTCGAAATCGGCTATCTCCAAACCAAATTTGACAAGGAATGATAGAAATTCGTTGCTAAATACCTTAATAATATTAGCCTTTCAGCTTTATTTTACGTGCTATGAGATTGCGGCCTCAACACAAACTTATGCCTTTAACTTAGCTAGTACACAATAGTCAGGTTTTGTTTTCTATGAGGGCCGACCCGGTCTAATGAATACCAATCTTAGGTTTGCGCCTCCGTTTCTAACTTCCTTATTTCTTTTTTATGTAGTCTTTTTCTCTTTTATTGGTACGTCGCTTGCACCTTTGATCATTTCAATTGAAAAAATATTTTATATTCTTTATTCATGTTATTCTACACCTTATTCACAATTTCTCTTAATTTTTCTTTTCTATTTTGCAACAGCTGTCAGCGGCAGCACCTGCTTTGAACGTGCTTTTCGCAACAACAACAACATCGACGCTCGTAAAGCCATCCGCTGATGTTGACTACAAAGGAAACGCTGTCAACTCGACTTAATTCCGTATCACAATTACATAGAGAGCAACGGAAGAGGAGGGAAGTAGAGTCATCGCGACATAACACCGATTCGTCCGCCAGCCAGTTGCAATTGCAATTATTATTATTCTTTTCAACTGTGCTACAGTGATTTTAATTGAAAACGTGCCCGCAACAGTCTTACAGTCTCACAGTGTAGCTGTGTTCAGAGCTTTCCGCCAAACAACTGCAACGCCTACGACGACTCCCCTCCCCCTCACGCACTGCGCTTCCTTGTGCTTGTGGCGGCAACATGACTGTTAAGCTGACGAATTTTTTCAGTAGCGCCGCTTCCATGCCAACGAGCACGGCGCCGCCATCACCGCCCATAGTACCCGCTGCCATCGGTGGTAGCTTCCACCATCATCATCATCATCATCATCAACAACAACAACACTTGCAATATCTGCAACAACATCAGTCGCCGCACCACCAGCTACAACAGCTACAACAATCGTCGTCGTCGTCGCTACCCTATAATCCTTACATAGCTGGCGATATGAATGGCGATGACTTGTATGATGATGACAACATGTCGCTATATTCGAATGCAACAGCCGCCAGTGGTATTATGACGCAGCGCGGTCATTCATGCAACAATTCACAGCGTCCGCTGCTGGGCGATAGGAAGCCGCCAAAAATGTTGTTAAGCAACAATGTAACAAAGAAAAACAAGAAGTCGACTGGCATTAATCAACCGCAACGTCACTTGCAGCAGCTACACCAACAGCAACAGCAACAGCAACAGCAACAAGGAAAACCACACTTGCAACAGAAATCGTATATCTCGCCGTACGTGCAACAACAGAAACGTGATAGCGCCAAGGGATTGCACGGCTTTAACGATTTCGATATATTGTCACAGCAATACACGGAGCATTTGCGCAGCAGTCCCCACATTGGTTACCCCTACGGCAGTCCGCCCTCGCCCACCGCCAAGTCTAATGACTTCGTATTCGATACGTTGCCACGGCAAGGGGAACAGCAACGACAGTTGCGTTTGTATGACAAAACTAGTTACAGCACTGCTAGTACAGTTCAACATCAGCAAACACAACAACAACAACAACAACAACAGCAGCAGCAGCAGCACTCAAGTCATTATCAACAACAAGAAATGGGAAATTGCTTCAATGAGAGGGATTACTCTTATTATGGGCGCAACGCCTGCAACGGTAGCGGCAGCGGTAGTGGTAGTGGCAATGTTAGTGTTAGTGGCAGCGGCAGTAATAGCGGTGGCAGCAATTGTCTACTGACCACCATTAGTAATACGTCGCCTAGCCATTACATGGGCAAATCGTCACGCTTTGAAGATGATTTTTGTACACGCCGCAATGCCACATTTGCCGGGCCACAATCGCTGGCATCATCAGCGAAGACAGTGGCCGCTGGCGGTGACGATGTTGGTGGTCCATTCATATTTGGCGGTGTGCCGCATGAACGATTTCAGCACGAAAACCAGGAACAGCCGAGAAACGGCATTGTGCAGCAGCAGCACGAGGAACAGCAACAAAAGCGAGATTTGAGTAGTTCAGCCACTGCGGTGACCAACTCGACGGACTCTGTGATAGATGTGGCAGACAAATACTCGCCATTCAACAATGGCCATGCGACTATGGTAAGTGCATATGTATGTGTATATGTATAAGGTATTGGGTTTTATATGGTTAGAAGCATAAGGATCCCATGCAGGGAGAGGATTAATTAATAATGCCAATTCGAGCTTCAAGTTACTGAATTGCGACCACAAGATCATCAAGGCTTCAACCGAAACCAGTATGGAGTTTCAAAGGAGGCGAAAGCAGTACAATATGTATGTGAATATTAGCGGGTCTACCTCATATATGTACATACATATATATCGAGCGCTAACCGCCAAAAACCGTAAACGTAAATTTTTTTGCTCTATAATTTTCGTTTCGCGGAGCTTTTATGCACAAATAAGAAATTTTTTAAAATAATCTTGCTTAGGGTTTTTTGTGGATAGGCCTCGTTATGTATGTCTGGCCCCCCCTGCGCGACACGCCTTACCCGTCTCCAAGCGAGACCAAAATTTATACGTGATATCTGTTAGCGAGGTATTACCTTTTGAAGGGGTGGGACTGAAAAAAATAGTTAATCTGATTTTAAGGATCACCCTAATGTATATATGCAAAATAGAAATATTTATAAAGCAAATGATAGAGTTGATATAGATGTACGGTGTGCCCTGAAAGTGCTTGTACGACACCTTGCTTAGACTGAGTTAACAAACACAGAAAAATTCGCTAATAGCATCGCATCCAGCTCTCAAGAAAATAAAAAATTCTCATAACAACCGCTCAAGAAATGAAAAATAAATTTTCATACTTCGATCGAAATTTCTTAAATCAGTTTGCAGCAAAGGCAACACACTTTTTCAAGCGCCGACAGGAATGAAGGCCCGTCTTCATTGGCAAAAGTTTTTGCTTACCAAATGCCATTTTTATTGCCTGATATAAATTTTATCGGAGGCAATATTTGTGCGTGGGCATTGATAAAATCCTTTGTAAGATGGCTTCGAACCAGAATTTTTTTTATCACTTAAAAAATTTATAAAATTTGCAATTTCACATCCAAGTACATAATAGCAAATACTTTAAAAGAAAATAGCTAAATTTTTGCTTTTAGATTAAGATATCAACTGTATTGTCGCCACGAAGTTTTCGAGCAAATGAAAATGTTGCTGTCAAAATGATAAATGTACATACATACATCTCCGCTTGGAAAATGGTCATATACTTTCCGTCAAAAGAGCTTTTCACCTTGAAATTTGCAAGTGAGCTTTTTTGTAAGACTTTCATGTCAGAATAAACAAGCTATCATACCTAATGTTTTTCAATTGTCTCACAAAAGACTTGCAACTATCTTAGTCAGAATTACAGAATATATACTTCGCCAGACCGAGCTTTTACTCTGCACGCGGCTATACAAAATGTATAGAAAGCAGAGCTGGGCAATAAGGATTACTTTAATCGCAATTTCGAAAATTATTGAATTAGGATTGAGGTAATCGTTCATCAAAGGCATCTTAGATTACGATTACAGTAATCGTAATTCAACTTTTTTCAAATTACAATTACTGTAATCGTAATCTAAGTTCGTTCGATGAATGATAACAATAATTTAAAATTTTTCTAATGACAATCTTTTGAGTAATCTTAAACTTTTAACTTTTTTAAAATTACGATTACCGTAATCGTAATCTTGTTTTTTGTAGCTTTTTGGGATTACTGTAATCCTAGTCGTTTAGTAATCGTAATCCTTATCGCCCAGCTCTGATAGAAAGCATAAAAGAACTTTGCCCGCGGGCAAGGCGATGCCCATCACCGATTTAAACACAGCTTTAAAAAGCTCTGCACGTTTTCTATTTGTGCGTAAAACAAAGCTTTCAGGCAGAAGGGATGTAGTTTTTTCAACCAGGACCAAAACATATTCTGTAGAAGAAGCTTTTTTAAGCATCAATAGACTTTCAATAAGCTTTTACATGCATAGAAAAACCTTCCTCTAATCGAGATATTTTAATATGATCTTCACTTTGAATGTTGTACCAGGAAGTCATGAAATAGCATGTGTATGGTACATATAAATCCACCCATGCTTTGGAACAAAAAAAAAATTCCTTCTACAAGCACAATTTACATCTAGCTTATCGCCTTTTTTCAAAAATTGATGCACGTTTATTTAAAAACTAGATCGCCCTCACCTGCTTCGCTGAGTGTGTGAAATTTCAAAGTGCTACATTGAGTAAAATTTATTTCAAGGAAACTCAATTAAGAAGCAGGAGGTTTAAAATTTGTTTAACCATCTCCAAAATTTTTTTCAAACTAAAACTTTCTTAAAGCTTCATTCGGAAACACCAGGGTTGCGATGTGCAGGGGTAAATCTCAAATCACTGATAAATCACGTGCCAGAACCATTGCGCGCCTTTTAATGTGATATTTAATTTAAAATAATTGAATTTAATTTTTGCAAGGGTGCCAACCCTTGTGAAAGACTTAAATATTATTCAAAACTTTCGAACTAAAGATTTCTTAAGAATATTTCGTTAGACAACCGTATTTTAATTCTTCAGGTAGCTTGCATATAATTAACTTAAATTTGACTTTTCAAACAGGTGGCAACCCTTTCCAAAATATATTCGAGATACAGCTTTTTTAAACCTCTTTAAATCCATATTTGAAAATAATTTTCAAATAAATAACTCCCTTAATTGAACTCACCCATGAGTAGATAATGATTTTATATATTTCCATACCAAGTTCCAGTAATCTATCACAAATATTTCATGAGATGCAGTATGAGAAAATCCGTTTGTATGGGGGGTGCCACGCCCTCTTGTCTAATCGAGATTAAATTTATCCTATATTTTAAGTTGGGCTAAATGACAGCAGTGTACAAAATTTCATGATAATCGGTTGAGTAGTTAAAGCGTGAAAGCGTAGCAAACAAACAAACTCACTTTCGGATTTATAATATTAGTAAGGATAAGGATACATATAGACGATTTCACGAAGCATTGAATTTAAGGTACAGTATTAAGCAAATTTAAACTGTGATTAAGCCAAGTATATTTCCTTTTTTATATTCGAGTTCACAGTTTCGTGCGTGTTGTATGACTTTGTGAAATACATACATACATACGTATTCGATATTGTATGTACATACATACACACATACAAAATGTGCAACAGGCATGCCAAAAGCTTTTATACATACATATGTACATACATGCATAGGTCCTGCGGCTGCTGCCAAAAGCAAAAGCAACTGAAAACCTCTAACAAAGCGAGTGAGGCAACAACAACAACCACACTCGCTTTTCAATGTTAATTACCACAAAGCTGTTTGTCTATCTGTGGGTAATTGGCGTTAAACTTATTTGTATACGCATTTAAGGAATAGAAATGAATAGAATGGGTATGCAAGAGGCGGATAGCGAAAGACAATAAATGATGAAAAGAAAAGAAGAAATGCGGAAGACTTTCACCAATTAAGCAAGTCAAGTGTAATTAAAGTGAACTAATGAAAAGTAAAAGAAAAAAAATAATAATAAAATTACTAACAAAAAATTAGCTGGCGCGTTTTAAGAATAGGAAAAAGAAACAATTTGATGCCAGAAGGAAAAGGAAATTTAAAGTGAAATTGATGTTTAACAAGCTTGAGTTGAAGTGGAGAAGAAACTGTGGCAGTCGGCATGCACTTCATTAGCTTAATTTATGTTTTAACAACGCGCGGTAAAATGGAGTCAAACGTGCGTAATGGACGTACATACATATGTACATAGTGGGGTGAGGGTGACAATGCGAGCAAAGCCGTTAATTGCTCAGATGACTGGTAACTGAGTGTCATTCATGCAGGACTAACCAAGAGGCAGTAGGGTGTGGTAACAGTTTACGAATTTTTTAATATAAGTTAACTTAAGTACTTAAACTTAAATACAAAGTGATGTGACTTAGACAGGTTTAGTCCGATCAGCTACCCCAACATAATACCGTCCCCAGACTGCTGAAAGAGTATCACTTGCAGATGTTGTAGAATGCTTCTTAGGGTTTTGAGAGCTTTAAATTTGCTTTTATAGCTCGGCGTTATAAGTGTCTTAATTAGTAAAGGTTAGGCTCACGTGGCTGCTGCTTTTTCTCCAGCACGTTTAGGCCTACAAGTTGCTCTCTTTGCGATAGTGCAGAAATTTCAGAATCCCTACTCCTCTTTGAACCAGTTCATGGTGCAGCCAGTCTGAGGCTGAGGATTTTCTCCTTCGCAACCTCTGCACAAGAAAGTGTTCTGATCTTATTTGGAAACTTTTGTAAAGCGTTCGCGGACCTGCGGCCACGGCCATCGTCCATTTTATATTTGCCTTGATTTTGCCTACGTTCCCTTCAGCTGCTTTAGCACACAGCCCAGGTACAGTCGTGTGCCTACGCAGGGTGTTGTTGGATGATTTTTTATTTTTTTTTTTGAGAAAACCAACCATAACCAGATCGACTCGCTCTTCCGGCCCTGTGAAGGCGGGGGTGTTGGATATGGAACTCTTGGGGTTCGCTCACCTGCTTCGACATTCCATTTGGCTGCAGTGAGAATATCAGGTTAGGCTCCGCTTGTGCCTTTAGTACCCGATACGGTGTCCTTACCTTAGCCTTGGCGCCATCTTGTATTGGGTTATCTATATAACCCTATAACCCTATTGATCCTCGTATCTTGGTACAAGGGCCTTCCGAATCTTTAGGAGGGTCGGCCCCTGCAGGTTTTTTCTTTGATTTGTGTTCATAGTTGATTTCCACTAGTTGCAGAGTTACGGGTACGTCTACCCGGCAGATAATCACCATACGCTAGGTAAAGCCTCAGTACGCTCTGTTCGCGATTAAAAACGCCTAAAGCCTTGATCCAACCCCTCGTTACCTACATTAGTAGGCCAAGAGCAAAAACCATTTCCATATTTGTAAACTATTCAGCAGCTTGAGTATATAGGCTAATTCAGAATCTAAATATAGTGCCCATAACTAGTCGAAGATTTTACCGATCAATTATCTTAATTTAAAAAAAAAAATACTTTCCTTCTAATGTTGAGTCCTATCACCGGGCGAACGGGGTCATTATCAT